TGTTTAAGTACCTATCCGCGCGAAATTAAATTGCCTGTTCACACCACTTTTTTTAGTAATACGTTATGTGCTTTTAGAAGTTTTTGGGCCATGTTCGTAACTTATTAGCGGGATATAACAAGAAGAAAAATAACATAGACATAGCCTGAAATTTATCTCTGTTGTCTGAAATGTATGATTATTATCAACGTAATTTGCCGGGATCTCTTAAAAACGTTATAAGTCGAGTAGTCAGACGTTTGTCAGACGTTACACGATAGCGTAACGTTATACTACTGTAGATAAAACACTTTGCATCGTTTTTTTATATGAACTTTGTCATATAGCTGTAAATCGTTGTCTTGACACATGAGATGTGCTGATCACTAGTAGTATTAGTAAGCATCGTAATGCGTTATATACTATGCGCAGTTAATAGGAAACCGCAGGCTGATATTTAGTATTACGACTGTCTCGTGAATGCCCAGAGTAACGTACTCTTAACGAGAGCAGTTAATCTTTTTATGTGCAAAGCGCAAACAATTAAATCTAGATTACGTACCGGCACTCAATTTCCACAATTGGCCGACCTCTGACGCTACAGTACGTGATAGGTTTCGCTACCACTTTTAATTGATTAAAAATAAAGTGGGATTATTGTTGAGTGGGCACGATGTTAAAGTAAACGATCACTGTTAAGCCTTTTTAAACATTTCTGTGTCTGGTTTGATACTTGATTTTATCGCAGTACGAATATTTCCATGGGGTTTAAACCGAGCCTTTTACCTTAAAACGACAACGGAGAAATTCAGGCATATCTAGATTACTGACATAGATTACTGACTCGTATCGATACGAATTCGTTTATGTCCCATTAAACGCTCTGCGTGCATTTTGTCGTCATTATTTGTCATCTGTTAATTCTTTGTCCCACGACAATACTCGTTTGTAACCGTCATAAAGTTGTATTGAATGCATGCGGGTGCCTTTTTTAAGAAACTCTCGGTGTAAAGCGCTTTAAAATTCTTTATGTACCGCACGTACGTCGGAAGCTTGTCGGAATTGCTGTTAAAGTCCAGAGGTGCTGATCCTAAAATGTAAAATTTATTCTCTTTTAGAATGCCATTGATACCTACGGCGAAGTGCATGCAGCACTGTACTGTAATTTATTAGTGTTATTTGTTCGTAAGTTGTTATGTAGCTAGCATTACAGGCTTTGTTAAATTGTTATAAGGACAAAAATAGTTCTATAAATTATCCATTAAATCGAATATTATCGTGTCTTGGTCTTTGTATATTAATATCACCCATAATAACCTTTAACCTCATCTAATATTGAAGGAGTCACAAACAATACAAACAAACGAGTTGTGATCGATTGAGAATCGAATCAGCTCGATTGTTCGGTGCGAGTGATGAGGTATTTATTCGATTAAAGAATCGATGTCCAAACATAAAGGTCATGTTATGCAAGTCGCAAATTCGAGTAATATAAGATCTTAGATAAATAGTTTTTAAGTTAAAATGTTTCATTAACGCCTCGGCTCCTTAACTAATTTTTTTCCTATTTACTCCTGCTTAGAGAAAATAGTGGCGCTACGAGCTAAGCAGACGGATCGTTCCAAATTAGTCAATGTTGTAGACGGTACTACGGCGTATTACATCATTCTCGTCACAGCGCTATTGCAGAAGCAATAAACCAAAACTAATTTGACTAGAACAGACAGTTATGCTCCGAGTCGGGCTATAAAACCTAGTAATACGGTTTATGTCCATAGTTGATGTTTCACCTGTGACAGGGTGGGGTAAATGTCTGTGTTCGGTTGTACTATCAACAATGTCACAACCAAACACTAAATACTTTATTAGTGTAGTGGTTAGTATCTAATATAGATAGTATATGAGATTGGAAGCAAGACCTACTTCATCCAACTACCCTGCCTAAAGTAAATCCACGTCAAGCAATCCGGTTACCTGTATTTATTTAATAGCGGTAGGCAGGTAGAGGTCATTTATGCTAACTATATATAATAGCAGAGCTATAGATTAATCGATTGACAAGGACTGTAGCCAAGAATATTGATACAAAACTGCGAAGCAACCGTACTTTACCGATTTACCCTAAACTTTCAAACCACCTCCAAATTCTATTACAAGTTGCATGGACTGACACGGCTACAGTGTGATAATACCGAGTAATCATGAACAATATATTCCACGCCACTTGCATAACTTACCTGAACTTTAATTGACGCTTGCGCCCTTAATAATAAAGTCGATTTTGCAACGTCACCCGAGGCAGCGACGCTGGGACAGGTTGAAGTAATTTTTAGTTGGGGTTATAAAATTTTTAGAACTCTACGGAGTTGAATTTGTAATTTCGCTTGATGAGGCCGCGTATAATTTTGTTGATGTGATTTCATCAAATGCTCTACCTACTTACATTCGTAAAAAAAAAAGAAGATACGCCACGCCTTAAAACTACAATTTGTACCAAGTTCAGTTCAAACACGACTAATGATCTTGTAGAACCGAGAAACGAAATGACTTTTCAATTTGGAGGTATGATAAATAGCGTCCCCGCTTGTACGAGTTTTAAAATTTCGAAGTATTGTTTGGCACCGTTCGGAATTTAAATTCATTTTACATCTGTCACACAAAGGGATTTAAACCTTCGCTCGAAAATTCCGTTCAACTTTTAAAAGCTTTTTTTAAAGTCGTAACAAAACGTGTAATTCAAAAATTGCTTACTCGCCTAGAAATAAACATGAATTACTGTGTGAATGCTCTATTTTAGTCTTGAAAGACTACAAAAAGCGCTGAAATTGATAATTTAAATTTCGAACAAAGCCCGTTATTTTCATGTCAAAATCACATTTTTGTTTAATATCTGTACTTGACTGGCCGCGTGTCTACCTCGCGTGCTAACTGAAACTTAACTTGAAAACTGGAATATTAGAAAAGTTTTTCAAAACAATATCACAATGACTTTGATAATTATTAGTTACGGAATTCTAGAGGAAGTTTGCGACAGTTGTTTTCCTTTGTAAGCCCATTTGAATACCTATATAAAATGCGTGCTTAGAGATCCTTTCATATTTTTTGATTAAATCTCGGTTGTGTCCCTTGTGTGCGTTAATCTTAATCACTTTTGTATTAAAAAGATTGGCACTTAATGTCTATAGAAACCTGAGCACAGTTAAACGGGTCAACGAGTTGAAATTGGTGTAAATTGAACGAAAACTCCGCAGTACTATAATATACGTTAGTATTATAATAAAACAGCCGCATTGAAATCGTTTCATGCTTACACGAAATTCAAACTTTACTGCTTGTAAAATATCGCATTTAAGTTTTTGTTCAGTTGAAATTATTACTACTCAACTAATCGGTTTACTGACTGTGCGTTTTTTCGCTGCCAAGAGCCAATTTGTAAAAATAAACATATATTTTTCTACAAATCACACTGTATTCATTTAACTTATTTTTTCTATTTTTATTTATATCACACTAAGAAAAATTAGGGGAGTAACCTTGCGCAAAGTTATTTTGTTGCGATGGTATAAAATTGCGTAGTGTGTAATCATCTAGTTTTTTGTTCATTAAACATGTAACAATGCAGTAACATGAATTATGCAAATGCACCCGATAATGTATGTCGCAGTTATGTTGACTAATGTATACTTGTAACACACGTTCTAGTTTTGATAAGGCTTTTAATTGTACCTTTCAATAAATAAAATAAATAAATACAGTCTCGTAATAACACCAGATTATTAATTTCATTATCGAACTTAAAAATATTTTAGACAGAGACTCGAACACGCGACCATGCCGTTTTTGTAAAAATTAACCTGTGAATGTTGTATATGTATTCAAACATAATTCTTTGTTTAATATAAGTCAATCCAGTCCGGAACTTCTACGTGCAAATTACATTTACAATGCAAATGAAATACGTGTGACAAATTCGAACATGAACACCCTCAAAGGCATTCACACAAATGCCCGCATCTGTGCCACAGACAAATAGTCCTGGCTTCGGGAAAAAAGTTTGAAAACAATAACTTGACACGGCAATCTACAAATGGGTGTGCAGCTGCGCCAATTAATTTCGTGTAAACTAACACAGCTGATGCACATCATCAGAATAACGCTCCCAATGAAATCGATGTCCAAAAAATGTCAGTTGATTTAAAAAAAAACCAACGCTCGCTCCCAGCTGTTTCCGCGCACAGCTGATCGAACGGATATTGGCTGTTACGAAAACTGTCTCGCTCACGCGCTTTAGGGCTGTCGATATATAATTAATTGCACTTGATCAAATAAAAAGTTTTTGGTAGGTGGCAAAAGTTAGTCTTCCTATATGTAGGTAGTCGTCCTATATTTGCACATTATAAGAAAATATTTAAATAATTGTTATTAAGGCCATGATATTATTTATTGCAAGCAACCTCCTCGCCTTTATAAATATTATTGGAAGCCTTAATTGCCTCCGTTTTACCACATTTCCTTCTATGCTCCTACTGATCACAACCTGATGTTTCAAAGCCTTCCTCTATAACTGATTTAACCAACACAAAAAGATTTTTCAATTCAAACCCATAGTTCCTGAGATTAGTGCGTTCAAACAAACAAACTCGTGAGCTTTATAATATTAGCATTTATATTTTTAATGCATTCCATTTTCACGTTTCCAGCAGACGACGACCCTAACGCTCACACTTGCTCCTTTCGGGTCTATTAATTTTCCCCACCGTCCTTTAATGAGCACTTGAAAGTCTGGAGAGTTCCGCTTTTTTATTATTCCGCCGCTGATAGCCTGTTACGTCAAAATGAAAGAAATAAATACATAATGTTTAATATGTATGAACAAATAATGAATCAAATATTTTTTTATATTGTCCTAAAAGAAAGAATGCTTTTTAAAAGCTGGGAAGCTAATGTGAACTAACACATTTTGTATCTTTTTTGCAGGTGAGTATCGTGACTAGAAGACTTCAAAATCCAAATGTTGAAGGATGATTTACGAGTAAGTCTTAGTGAAAATATTTATAATTAGTGCCTACCTACCTGCGTTATACCTACAAGTAGATAAAAATGTTATTAAGTATTGTATTTAGTTTTCGCGTGTTCATTTAAATACCCTTTGAACGGTTTAAAACGCAAAATTTATATGCATATTGGTAAATGATTCATAAAACAATCTTCGTTGGATGTATTGAGTGACGTGTTAACGTGTTTGTAAGGGAGGCATTTTTGTGATTAGATTTGTATAAAGCTAGCGATGTCAAAGTAATGTTATTGACTAAATAACCTAAGAACACAGTAATCACTTGAAATATCGAAAGAAGCAGGGCAATCGTTTATCATTCGCCTTCTAATTAGCAACACAAATCGAGCAAGATTAATATCGTTCAATATTCAAGCGCTTTGCGAAATGTATTAAAACTAAAATAAACAACAAACAGTAATACAGATTATCCGTTCTACAAAATAATTTATTAAAACGACTTTCGAAACATTTCTCGGATACGAATGCGAAATTTATAATTCTTTATCTTCTGATTTATAATTCTGTTGCTCGTTACAGAACCCTTTTAAGCCTATTTCTTAGGAACTGTGAATATTTGAGAACAACGTTCCGCAAATGAATATCGGTACGTCGTTCACTGAAATAACAATGCGGAAACATGAACGTGTAGATTAAAACGGATAATTTTACATAGTTAATTGGGCGTCAACATAAAGACTATTTGTTCTTATCTAATAGTTAAATTCTATTTTCCCCTATGGCACTTAAGGCAGATACATTTTTACGTCCGCTTAATATTTACTTTTTCTACGAAAGTACGAAATGCTTATTGTAGCTAATAGTAGGCAACATGTTTTAACATTCAGACACAGAAGCAGTTTTATTTATGACTCTTTAAATTCCAAAGTCTCGGTTACTATTACCTAAATGTTGAAAGATAAATTCGATAGCATAACAAACTACAATATAATATAAAGCTTCGCAAATATTAGTTTGTTCCCAATTGGGATGGCACTATTATCCCAATTATTTGTCCCTTTAAAATTTAACTGTTTACGTTAATTAGTTAATTTTATACAGTCAATTCAAGATCAAAGTGTTTGTAGAGCGAAGTAAATCAAAGCAAACGTACTAATTGGATAATAAACATTTTGAATTCGACGACATTGTCTGATTCGTTAGCGAATTAACAGCCTGGATCGACCGCGAACGTTGACGGGGAAGACTTAATGAAGGGAGGCTTACCCACGCCGCAAATGGATATCCACAATTCACGCACGTCGGTCGCCCTTAAGACGGCGTTGCTGGACTGCGGTCTATCAGGCTCAATACAACCTCCCATCTATCAAGTTATAGACAGTTATGTCTACAATTTCAAACGCGAAATATATTAGATAAACTTATTTGAAAATTATTTTAACTACGGCCCGACATTTCGGATGCAAACATGCAAAGAGTTTTGTTTAAATACGTACAACTTGCGTAAACTACAGACAGTATTTAAACCGTAATAGTAATTAATATATAATTTTAGGCATATAGCCCCCCCCCCCAACCCCCCTTGTATTGTTGAAACGTCTCCATTAATAATTCGTATCGTTAACACAATATCGATTTGCGCAGTGGGTAAGCAATTTCAATCATTCAATTGATGGTGTATCGTCTTGTTTGAAAATGCATGAAGTGGTACCAGTGTAAATAGAGGTTGGGATTGCATTAGTTTCTGAAGGCTGGATTTGGGCTTTATGTTAATATTGTCAATGTTTAATGAATACTGATTACCTATACTGTAAGACAAAGGGTAGGTCGCGTATCTTTGAAATATGTCCCACTGCTGGACACAGGTATCCTCTCCTATCCTACGACGCTGCTTAATGTGAATCGGCTTGACCATTAACAGTGATAAATAATATAGAAGGCGTAATATACTCCCACCGGCCGGGTGGTTAGTTCAAGTCCTGAAAAACCAGTTTTCACATTTTATTTCTAAAATATAGCCCGAACTAAGTTTTAATATCGTGTTTGGGAATTATGCTAAACTTCCAACTCCAGATTCATACATTATTTATTTACTCGAAGAGATTTGCATTACGACACTTATTGAACAAGTTTCACGTACCGCCATTCAATATTAAAGATTAAGCGACATCAAAAGAATATTTTTAGAAGGGATTTTCATAAAAAAAACGTGGCTCATTTCATTCGAGGGAAGTTTTCATTAAATTACAAAATAAGGGGAGTCGACTTAATTATCAACGGGGATGATTTTTGAATGGCAATTTTTTTCAAGTATTTCTCTTAGGGAATTAACTTTGTAGTGTTCTTACACGTGTTCGGTTCTGGAACGATTTGGTCTCGTACAGCGTGCGAACGTGTTATGGACGGAAATAAAAGTGCGCAAGTTTTTGGAAACATGATAAAGCTCTTAGTTCTAACTATGATGACTGGCCTCCTAGATGTTGACGCTTCTTTCATTACGTTTTGAGAAGCACCATCACAACACACAAGTACATATATTAAAAAGGATATTTTTTATATTTACAAATGACCTTTCTCGTTTTATCGGGCCTAATCATAAAGCTATAAACTCACGTACATAGAGCAAGCCACGCTTACACAATATGGTCTTAACGCGTGTCTGTCCATACACAGAAAGTCGTTTAGGACTCACCTCTTATCTTTAATGCGACGTTCTTGGGAAGAAATGCGAAAAAACTCCTTCCCACAAGATAACTCTGTATGAATATGTAATTTGGGGCTTAACTTTCTACGTTATGAATTCTATTACTGTTCGCTTCCCGTTTTTAGAAGGCGAACGAAAACTGAGTCTGCATATGTGTTTCAATGTAACATTTGCATTCAGTATTATCTATAGCTGTTTAAAACGGGAAATATACGGACTGCTCCATAACATCTTAAACGTCCTATCCTAAAAATAAATTAACTTTATTACATTTCGCGTTAAAATTTTAGTTTAGTAGTTTTTCTTTTTGTTTAGTTTTATACGCATATAATATATATATTTGGCTAATAACAAACAGAGGCGTACTTTTCTGTGATAGATCGTTGTTATTTTTCAAAATAACTAATGACTTCAAATTAGTATACGTTGCCCCATAATAATGGCAATTCCACCTCACGCCTATTGGTTGACCACAATTCCTCACCGACAAACTTCTCGTCGATATCCCATACACACGATTCTCACTCCTATAGTGAAGCTAGAAGCGATATATTCGTATAGCGTTGTTAGTGATTTACACGAGTTCGGAAAACCTTTTGGAGCTTGTGTAATCTGCTTCGGAGCGAACGCAATTAATGGGAACCCGGAGTACTATTGCCAAAGATATAATTTCACAGGAACGGCCTCCCGTTACTAATAAATAGGTGGCGCTAGTCGTTTTGAGCTCGAGTAACTAATGTACCGAATGGTACATATACAACGACAGTACACAGACTTTGAAACATGGAAAGAATTAAATTTGAAACATTTGATTTATTTATTAAAAACCAATCACGCATCCTTAAACAAAAATAATTCTAACATGAGAGTGAGTTACAAAATTGTTTAACATATCTTATACGGCCTATAGTTTACGCGAGTAGTACACATTTAAATAAAACACTTTAACGGTTTAAAACGCGATATATTAGTTAAACTTATTTGAAAATGGTTTTTAACTTCGGCCCGACGTTTCGTATGCTTTGCAGCAGCCGTAGTCACGGGGAGACTCTCGTCTTATAATGTTTTATTTACATATCTTATGGATCATATGAGATATCATACATCATTGTCTCTATGACTTGCTCACCGTACAACAATGATAAATGTCTATTTTACAATTTGCAAGTTAAGTACATCAAGTTAGTTCTCGCGGGGCTGATGGCGACCATGTCTCTTCAAACCTATATATTCGTTACCTTTGATGTTTTAAGGGGACAACTAAAAAACAAATTAAGTTTTATAAATCTTAACATGTTGACAAGTCTAATCTCACCTAACACTATGTAATAAACTTAAAGCCCTCCTTAATACTTCGAGAGATGCAACAGAAGCTCCTTTTAGATTCCACGTTAAAGCCGTATAAAATTTCGAGATATCCAATGCTGTATTTCTTATTTCTCGTCCCTCAAGGGAGGAAGTTGAAATTTAGAAATGCGGCATCTCCGCAATGAAGCTAAGACATTTCGCCCGTGTATCTCCCCCGGGGAGGGAAGTTCGCTTGACCAATGTCGGTAGTCTTCGAGGCTTTCGAAATTAACCCCATAAATAATATACGACACCGGGTTTTGGCAGTTAAAAAGACGCCGCGGGGATATAGCATCTTTTATATTAAACTAAAGGCGTTGTATTTGGGAGGTTTATTGTTATTAACAACAGACTATTCGACACATGAAATACTGTGAACATTTCCTGTTATGGCAATAGTAAATATAATAATACCATACATTGTATGATAATTACACAGATTTTTTTATTTTTACATTTCTGACTCTCTTTTTATTACTATTAAAATATAAACACGCGATGTATTAAATAAAACACTTTAACGATTTTAAGCGAAAAACTATTAGGAAATATTTTAACTTCGGCCCGATGTTTGGATGCTTTGCAGCAGCTTTGACCACGGCTGCTGCATAGCATCAAGAATCATTTCCGAATAAGTCTAACTAAATATCGTTTTAAACCGTTGAAGTGTTTTATTTAAATGTGTACTACTCGTAAATATAGACAGTATTCAGCAATTATGCTTGCGTCGCAGAAGCCCCTCCATTCTTTTCCTACTCGGCACCCATTCTGAAATATTACAAATTCCCTTTAGTGTGTTAAAGCTGTTTCATATAGATTTGATATCCATTTAAAACTTTTTACCTTTAAAAATAAGCGATCGAAGGTATACAACTTATCGTTTAAGGTAAGTCTGTGATCAAGTTAAAAATAGGTTAATATATTAGTGTTTACTGAATCGCTAACACCACAGCAGCACGAAGGGTGTTGGATGCCGGTTCAAGTCCAGTCCGTTTCGTAATTTGTTTAATCTTAATACACATTCTGTACTTGCCAACAAGCAAATTGTATACATTGTTTGACATAGCAACTTAACATTTGGAAAATCGTAAAACCGGTCCAATCCCGTACCTTATTCTCAAGAAGTAAATCAGAATAGTATCCCAGTGAAGCAATTTAGCCGAGCGTTCGCACAGAGTTGGCAATTGTCGGGAATTGTGCCCTATTGTTGACTGGAAATCTTCGGGAAAGGTGCTCGCAGTTATTGATACCTGGGACGGTTTGATTATATTGTTGAACAAGTATTTGGCGACGTAAATACATTTTCTGATAGCTCGGAAGCGGAGTTTCCAACGGGGATAGATAGTTCATTGAAGGATAGACATACCGGAGTGCACCTTGTTGTTTACATATAGAAATAATCTTTGGCTTTAGGAATTATTGATTTATTACATTAAACATAATGATTTTATCTCTCATTACATGTATTTTAAAGTGTAGAACTTTCGAGGTGGCTTTGTTAGAAAAAATGAAAAGAAATACGTTTATTAAAAACGCTGTTTAATAAACTTATTCTTTTAAATAAACCACTTTAACGGTTTAAAACGCGATATATTAGTTAAACTTATTTGAAAATGATTTTTAACTTCAGCCCGACGTTTCGGATGCTTTGCAGCAGCCGTGGTTACGGGGAGACACTGACTAAATGTGTACTACTCGCTTATCTATAGACAGTATTTAAACTTATTCTTTTTTTTTCATTTTTGTATGATAGAGGAAAACAGACAAGCACGCGGTTCCCTTGATGGAAGATGAAACACCCCGGCCATATAACATTTAAACAAGATGCACCGTCGACCTATTTTGACTTTGGACATTCGGCAATCCACAGACTGGAATCCAAACGCGATTAAACTTAACGGCTTTATCTATGGGTGACCTGGATGCAATTTCCACATTCCTACCACCCATTTAATATCCCGAATGGGGATCAAACCCACGACCCGTTGTTTATTAGCCATACTTTGCTATCATTCGAAGCCAAATTATTCTAAATCTAATGCATTCTGTGAACGCAAGTAGCATATCATAAACACAGCATTAAAAGCTTGTAAATTGAACGTAACGCTCGCTTCTGTCGTTCTATCACTAATGGCTGTTAGCTTTTGCTGTGTCAAGCATGAAGCTTTGTCTACGCAACGATGTATTATGCAACCTTCGCATACACTCGGTCTATAGACAGAGACTCGCTTTGATACTGTTAGTGATAGTCTTAAGTCATTTCGTGTGCATTTGCACTGGAATACGTGAGAAGGCTGTTTTGTGGAATGAACTGGGATTACGTGGATTTGTGAATACAACTAAGTCTCTTGGATGATGTTGAGATGTCTGGAAGATGAACGAAATCTATATTAAAACTAATTTTTAATGAGATGCGACAACATATTTGTTTTTAGTGACTACAGTAATCGTTCTATTTGATATTGCTTCCGTCATACACACGCAAATATCGCACGTTATAGAGCTGTGGTGTTTTACTTATAATCAAGTAAACCTCGGGCTTGTGTGTCATCCTATATCCTTAAAAAACACGCATAGACTATATTCGTCTACCTATTAAGGTTTATAGTGCTAGGACCCACCACATCACTACTGCAGATTGGCTGGTTTTAACGATTACCGCCACTTATAATAATTGATAATCGGGACACTGGATTGATGACAACTGCTACTTTCAAACTCTAGGTTCGGTCTAGAAAATTATTGGAGACATTTCAAATAGTCGCCCGAAGCAAGATTCGAATCTGGACCTCGTGGTCTGCAGTACTATAAACACGAAACAATAGGTCATGTGGGTAGAAATACTGCATATATGTACATGAATACAAAGTAAATGTAAGTTTGGAATATGATAAAGGCCTTTACATCCAAGATGGATCAGGACAACACGTCGATATAAATTTCGCAAAGGAAACTACATACAAGCGGACAGTCATTATGTATGCGGACGATCGCTCCGTCACGTCACGGGGGACAGTAATCTATGACCGGATGCAGCCCTCGCCGAAATTCCTGGAGCCCACCCAGGGTTGCCAGAAGCACTCTTCTTCTTCAAAATACGGATATAATCCATACTTAGTTTTCTGCCTCCATAGCTAAAGAAACATTGCTTAGTGCTAATATCCAGCGTTATTCCTGGATTTGATTATCGGGCATGACACAAATAGTTTTAGTCAGTTTTCGGAGTCTGGACTATGATCAGAATAATTTCGACCACAAGAGGAAATATAAAAATTGTTTAAATAAAACCCTTTAATGGTTTTGAAACAGCGGTGTATTAGTTACGGATTTGGAGATCACTTTTAAGTCTCGGCCCCGTGACCACGACTGCTTTGCAAAGCATCCGAAACGTCGGGCCGAAGTTAAAAATCATTTTCAAATAAGTTTAACTAATATATCGCGTTTTAAACCGTTAAAGTGTTTTATTTAAATGTGTACTACTCGCGTAAACTATAGACAGTATATAAAAATTGTTGATTGTCTAATGTCTTCATCGATAGTTATATACTTTTTTATCTATTTATGTTTTTTTATAGTATATATATATAATATTTCGTACATTGCACATTTAAGGATACATAAGTATAACAAAGAACTTCACTGAAGATGGTATAACATTAGTGATACAGAACTGTCTTGAACACAACAAGTAGAAAATTGCTAATTGGTCAGCCCTAACATTACTCGTTAGCTATTAAGCTTCAAACTTGCTAGTATCTATCTAGATAGCTCGTGATATACGCTCGGATGCTTGTCAACTGTGATGGGTGTCGGCATCTTAATATTCCGATCTCTTTGTTCCGCCACTTTACACAATATCAACGGTGTGAAGTCAAACGCTAAGCTCATTGTGTGAATTTTATTAAGTCCACTTATTTTGGAGCTTCGAAAATTCGTTTTGTTATTCTTTTAACTTATATTTTAATTTTACCTATAGAACTTTTATAGTATGCATTGAATAAAATATATATTGTTAAGCTTTTTTAAAATGTGATACTAATAGAAAATTTACTGTATCTGTAACTCAATGATTACACGCCAATGCGTTAATTGTAGTCCCAGGTTTGAATCCCGTTCAAAGAATATTAATAAACTATTTTCTACTATATTGATCAGTATATTACAGAAATGTGTACGCCCGGGATTATTTTTTATTTTACTGTCGTACAACATAAGAAGATAATATATTTAACTAAATCTAGAAAACCTCGATTCTTTGCAGCCATTAACTTTACTATGAACTCAAAGTATTCATGAAGTTTATGCCAGTACATTAAAAACTGAAGTCAATGTTTTTACAATCAATTTCGGCATCCACAAACGTTAAAAGGCGACAAAACTCAACCCTCAAACACATTAGTCATGTTGCAAGGCCATTCACCTTGCAAATATCGTCCCCTTTGCCAAACCACCCTCACCCTAATTCGATGAGTATCCCCTCGCGGTTGCCATGGCGACGGACTCCCCTTCAAGTGCATAGACGCCAAATAGAATACTGCACAAATGTTTTGTATAGAACGCCACAACTTCCAAAAACCTAGCGTTTGTACGTTCTTATTAATTTTATACACGATCAAAGTGAACTTACGCTGATCTCATCTATAACTAGACGTTAAGTATGGTTTCAATGAGGGGAATTGTATAAAATTTATTACAAAAGTTACAGCCATTCAGGGGCTTACATTCAATTAGTCTCACTATTAACGAGTTTGTCTTAACGTAGCCTAATAAGTCTGGCAAGTTTTCAGATATAAATTATTATTAAACGGCCCGCAGTTTGCAGCCACCTGTAAGGTGCTTTATCTTATCTCAAAACTAAGATATAAATGATAATCTCTCATATTTATAGCGATAATATAGCTTCATGCTGTGAATGAACTATGAACTTGCTTCGAAATGCATTTACGTCGTTCTAAGGCTTTAAACTTTAATAACGGGGGTGGGTGACGTTTATTATGACGGAGCATTACAGAAACGGTTTTATTACGGCATGTTACAAAATGTCAGGTCATCGCGTTTACTCTTATAAAAAAATATGTATTCGCGCAACAGTAGGTAAATACACACTCAATATATCCATCGAACGTAGCTTAAGAATACCCATTTGCGAGGATGTACCATTTCCCCATCTGTTACGCCACACGGTATCTTTTACGAGAAATTCGAACATCGCCCGCATTTTCCCCGACGCGACGCGACTACCAACTCCGAAATATAACTTATTTCCGCACTCCGTAGGTATATTTTGTATTAAGTTCTGAAGCGTATCAAAATGATATTATATTTATACTTGTATTTATGCCAAATATATTGGCATATAAGTGTGTTACATTTAATAACACATTGTTTCTCTTATTCCAGGGATGCCGGTGTCCTGAAGATGGCCTCACGCACCCCGTCCCTTGAGTCGCTACCCGGTGCCAACTCTATAGGTTCGCTGGAGCGTGGCTCCTTATCACCGCTGACTTTGAGCGGCTCCTCGCCCCCAGCGAGCGACTCCGCCGTATGTGATCTTCGCGAATTCGACGGCCTAGATACCATCTGTGCGATCTGCCGAGAGACATTTGTCGACCCCAAAGTACTCAATTGCTTCCATACGTTTTGCCGGGGTTGCCTGGAACGAGAGCAAACACACCCTGACAAAGTAACTTGCGTCACTTGCCGAGTGGACAGCCAGCTTCCGCCGGCCGGCGTTCCTGGACTTCTAACGAACTTAGTGATCGCAGCGGCCGTAGAACAGGACGCTGATCTCTTGCCGAGCGGTCGTCAAACTAACTCGCCGACTGCGCGTTGTACCGGCTGCAAATCGAAGGAATCTGACGCCGTAGCGCGCTGCGTAGATTGCGCCAACTTTCTCTGCCCGAACTGCGTCATGGCTCATCAATTTATGCACTGTTTCGAAGGCCACAGGGTGCTCGCTTTCACAGATCTCAAAGACGACAAAGGCCTCCTCACCTCGACGCTTACGGCGAGCGGTGACAAAACTGCATTCTGCCCGAGACACAAGAACGATATCTTGAAATATTTTTGCCGCACTTGCTCAGTACCAGTGTGCAAAGAGTGTACTATAATTGAACACCCCGCTGCGCTTCACGATTGCGAACACTTGTCAGATGCGGGCCCTAAACAACTAGAACTGATGCAACAAGCGGTTAACGAAGCTAAAACGCGCGCCACAGAAATCAGGCACGTAGTGAAAACAGTGGAGCACGCCGCTGGTAAACTGCAAGTACAATACCACAAAGCTCAAAATGAAATTAACGACACCTTCCAATTCTATCGCTCTATGCTAGAAGAGCGCAAGCAAGAATTATTGAAGGAACTCGATAGCGTCTTCTCGACGAAACAGATCGCTCTGACCGTCGTCGGACAAAAAGCTCAAGAAACCGTCGACAAAATATATCAAACGTGCGATTTCGTCGAGAGGTTAACTAAGTGCGCAAATATTGCGGAAATATTGATGTTTAGAAAATTATTAGACACTAAACTGCAATCACTGATGAGTACCAATCCTGAACAGAGCGTGCAAACCGCCTGCGAACTTGAATTCGTCTCTAATTACCAGGCCATTCAAGTCGGTGTAAGGAACACTTTTGGCTACGTACGCTCTAGCTCCGAATCGAACGTCGGCCCTACCAAGCAACCGCCTATCGCGCGCCCCACTAATGGTTCTCTTTTGAACGGAGGATCCTCTTCGAGCAGTAGCAGCGTCAATGGAAGCTCTGGAAGCCTCAATGGCGGAATACACCTCCCTACTGGATTAAACGGTGTTCTAGACCGGCCTTACACAAATGGTTTACTGGGTCCGGCTAGTCAGTCCACGTCCCCGTTCGATACGAATATCATTTCGAAAAGATTCACAAGCGGCAGCACGCTCGGACCATTTTCCTCTGCTATTGGAGACATAAATTTAAACGGAATAAATCCTTACGAAAAGTGGTCAAATGGAGGATGTGACTCCTTATTCCCTCCGGCCACCTCGGATCCCTACTCGCTCTCCGCTGCCACTCATTCTGACCCCATTTTAGACTTGACAAACAAGTTAATATCGACTGCCATATATCCTCCAAAGTCACAAATTAAGAGACAAAAAATGATATATCATTGTAAATTTGGTGAATTCGGAGTCATGGAAGGGCAATTCACAGAACCGAGCGGTGTCGCCGTGAACGCCCAGAACGATATCATCGTCGCCGATACGAACAACCACCGTATCCAAATTTTTGACAAAGAGGGTCGTTTCAAGTTCCAATTCGGCGAATGCGGTAAACGCGATGGACAGCTCTTGTACCCTAACAGAGTTGCCGTCGTGCGCACGTCGGGCGATATCATCGTCACAGAGAGATCGCCGACACATCAAATACAAATCTATAACCAGTACGGCCAATTTGTTCGAAAATTCGGAGCGAACATTCTTCAGCATCCGAGAGGCGTCACCGTCGACAACAAAGGAAGAATTGTCGTCGTGGAATGTAAAGTGATGCGCGTCATTATTTTCGATCAAGTCGGAAACGTGCTCCAGAAATTCGGATGCTCTAAACATCTAGAGTTCCCCAACGGGGTCGTCGTCAATGACAAACAGGAGATATTCATAAGCGACAATCGTGCGCATTGCGTTAAGGTATTCAACTATGAAGGGATTTACCTGCGCCAAATAGGAGGCGAGGGAGTCACCAACTACCCTATCGGCGTCGGCATCAACGCCGCTGGAGAAATTCTAATCGCCGACAATCACAACAATTTCAACCTCACGATATTCACGCAAGACGGGCAACTGGTGTCCGCCCTGGAAAGCAAAGTGAAGCACGCGCAGTGCTTCGACGTAGCGCTCATGGACGACGGTTCGGTGGTGCTCGCCAGCAAGGACTACCGCCTTTACATCTATCGTTACGTGCAAGTGCCGCCGATCGGCATGTGAACGCCCCCGCACCCGTCTCCGAAGCCATGACTGGTGACGAGGCAAAGACAAACGATTCTGGCCACACGTGTCAATTTTTACCCAAGTGACTATTAAAGTGAACGCTAAAAACTGTTTAATGACGAGTGTCACTGTATTTGCGGCTGTCTCGATGTGATCAACCGCACCGGGCCAGACCCTTCGCCGCGCGTGGCGTCGGTGCCCCGTGCGTTATGTATTGTAACGAAACTGTAATGAGATTAGATTTAGTATTGACATTGTTATATGAGTACCTATTCGAAGTATAAGAGATTATTCCGTTAGTTTGATCCGGAAAATCGAATGATTCTCGACCCTTATCATTTTTGATCTATTGAATAATATTTTTCCATATCCCACGTCGTTAAATTAGGGATGAATATTACGGGCGTTTGTATTATTTAGCCCATTTGTTGGACCAATATTTTAACTATTATTACTTAAAATTGTTAGGCGTTAAGCGAGTGATTTTATCGTAAGAGAGCATCGAGTGGTGTTGTTGTTAGTGTTAAGGATATTCTTCGGCACGATAGCACTTCCTGTTTTTAATTAGCACTTATTCTGTGTCGATGGAAACATAATTATTAATCTAATTAAGAAGTTGTTACATATTCTTAGGTAAGTGTTAAATTGAATTAAACTAATATGGACAATCTTTAGTTACTACCCCTTTCGATGTAGCTACAAAAAGTTAGGGAAATTAATGTCAGGGGTTTTATCAATGACAAAGTCGACTGCGGCGTTTCTTAACATGCAATTGGATATACACATTATTACGGTAAAATAACTGGAGATCTTGGTTCGACATCACAGGGAGGCAATAATGTTGTAGTACTGTCACAAATCTTAAGTTACGCCAGTCTATCGATCGATGAACTACTGAGAGTATTATAAAGCATTTCAGAGTGGATGTTTTTGTTTTTGAATATTGGAGTACTGTTAGGGCTACAGATTAAGCAACTCGGACCGATACGACGTCACCACCGCCTAGTCACTGAGAACCCACGGATCCATAAATTCCTCAATTTCGTTGTTTTTTATTACAATTAGTAACATTTGGTTGATATAATATTATTCGTTTTTATACAAATTTAAGTAGGTATTTTATATTAAACACGGTAGTAACTAGAAGAGCACTTAGTAAAGGTTGGTTTCGCTAGATTTTTTTGATTTAACTATTTTTCGAGATTTTAACAGTGCAACGCATGTCGCTGACCACTGTAGTATTATAGCTTACTCGATTTATAATTCTGTTATCCCGCTAAGATATTTTTTATACGGAAGCAACTTTATTTTTGTAGCATAGTATACGGTGCATGTGTAACGTTTATTTTTCTTTCGTATTTTATTAATATTATTACGCTATTATTATTTACTACGATACAGTGTGTTTGAGTGTGTTAGAAGAATTATTTTAGTTTGATTTTTTTCATTAGTTTTGATTTTCGGTAGTTATGATTTATTTAGTCTTTGTGCTGAATCTATGACAATAAACAGATCTGATGCGATCCGAGTCGTCCGATGCGGGATCGTCCGAATTTATTCTGAAACGATCTGGTTAAGTTAGAATAGAATACGCAGACCGTTTTGGTGATATTCCTATATATAAATGAGCTTTTGTATTTAATGAAATAGATTGAAGCCACGCCAAGCTGCGACCGTCGACGGCGCCTCGCTCATCCGCAATACCTGCTATACGTGTGCCATACAACTATGTTGTGATGTATTAAGTGATATTAAGTGTTGTTTGTAAATATGTACCATAAGCAACGTACCGATTTATTGAATTTATCGTAGGTTTACGCAATCGCCTCTCTCGAATGATTTCATCTCTACTCGGTGCAAGTTGAGGTCGATAACGCCTCGAACTCCGGCTACGCTTAGGCCTTACCGATCGCAAACTTGCACTTCTGGAAAATTCTTCAGATGATTTTGTCTGCATTTAGTGACTTACGGTGCTTTAATTTCTCTCATGTTTGACGTGGCTTCGATATTAAAACGTCGCATCTCACACTGGATTAGGCGAATTAGAATCCCACCGCCCGCTCGTTAGAGTCAAAATTTCAGTGATCAATCACCAATGATTTTATTGTATAGACTGCCGTGTTCCTACTAAATTATTTCCTTCTGCGACTGGGCGACATGGATTTTATTTCTTCTAATCTACTCGGCTCGTTATTGTAAGCTTGGAACGTTTAAGCCGACCGTGTTTCTCTTGTGGGGTTTCAGAGAAGTTTTTCCATCTGCTCAAATGCTTTTGGCATGCTGCGTGTTAGGGCTGCACTAGAAACAGTCGGTTTAGATAGATCACTTAGATTAAATCGAGATATTCGTTCGTCGATTGAAGCAGAATAGTTGCTCTTTAAACCATACGCTTCTACTTAATTGAAACTTATCGCATTATATTTATATTAAGTATGTCTAGCTTAGTGTATCGAAATTCTAAGTAAGATTACGCAACTTATGACATCTGCTCGTTTATTATTTGTCTTCGTAATTTGATTTTTTATTCCCCTACGGCAGTAACTCTTTAATTTGTTTAACCCGAGATGTGTTTTAAGTTTTTATTAGTTTTTGTTCACAAATTAGTTTTGTGGTTTAGCATAATAATATAACGATTAAAGTAATTACCAGAAAACCGTTCATTCTTAAAAATTGCATTTCTGAAGCTCGAGGACTGATTAAATTTGAAACATGTTTTGTCTTTAAATATATTTTGTCGATGTTTGTTGTTATACTTATTATATTTTTTTAATTATTTGTATAAACAATTGTTCTTTAAATTAATGTACGTCGTTTTGTTTTGAATTATTTTTGTTGTATAATTGCTTTTTTATAATAATACCAGTTCATTGCAGTTTTACTGTGTGTTTTATTTTTTTGCTTTGACCGAGTAGTGCTATTTAGTCAGACCGCCTCCGTCGCCGCTGATTTAGAGATACGTTAGCGGGGACGTCGATATTGTTTGTGCTACTGAACCCTCTCATATTGAAGCCTATACAAAAATTCTGTGCCTTACTATTTAAAATCTTAAACTTCGACACTTTCGCCAAATCGCTCAAAGCACTCGCAAGCTATTAAACCTCGAATGTACTGAACCCGGTTCATTAGCACAAACAGTTAGTAATAGGATTCAAGAGTGTGTTTTATATTTTGGGACTTTCGCGTGTCTGTGTGTGTGTGCATTTTTATAAGGTTTCATTTGAACAGTTGGTGTTGGGGAACAAACATTGGCATGAAATTAGTAAGTATTCATTTAGACTTTAAATACACGACTAAGACTCACCATTTTTTATTTCTTAAATCCATTAGAATAGCTGCACATTTGAGCTCGCATCTAGATTACACCCGTTTAGAGATTAGAGACCTTAAGGATACAGCATCTCAGTGAATTAGGCGGTCGCTTTATCTTAAATATTAGAGTACATATTCTTATGAGGTCAGGCTATAAATTAAAGGGTTAAGGAATTCTCGAGTAAGATAAGTCTAGAATCTAGATCTCGATGCCGAGCGGAGACTCTTTGATTCGTTCTCCCCTGTCCACAGCACAGTTTAGTACTTTTAACCTAAACCACTATTTCCAAGTCAATTACTCTAGGGAACATTTTACTAACTAGCACCTACTAGTCAAGTAAGCACAGTTAGGCTTACGATATTGTTTCTAATTTTATACTCAGCTCACTCTAAGACTAAATTTAAGACCCATCTTCGAAGTTACTTTACTGTAGGCGTCATCGTCGCTTATACCATTTCGAACTGTACTTCATTCTGCAAACTTCAACTGATACTCTTCGGAAATTATCCCTAAAGTATATTTTGTAGGTTCAAACGACTTAAGAATCAAATGAGGCTTCTCGACGTTAGTCTGCGATGATCATTGATGAAATTTCAAGCTTAATCGATCCCATTAATATTATTTTACGCGATGCGATCCACCAATACCAGGAAGTGTGTAAAAATGTAAATATTAAACAAATGTGTACGTCGGTTAGATTAGTTTTAAGGGATGCCGGAACGAGTACGAGAAGGATATGTTTCGGATTGCGTATTCAGTGGTGATTACATAGTGTGAAAGATTGTGTATTTTTATAACGAAAAATTATGGTTCAACGATAAGTACTAGACTCCTAAGGTGTTATTTAGAAACGAGGTTATTCGAACGATGCATTTAAAATGATACGGTTGTTGAATTGGAGCGTATCCGAATTTGTCAGGACAAGAGTCAAGCTAGGACTTCACCATATCGATAATTTTAAATTCAATAATTTCGTCACAGTTAATACATTCACCTGTTAATATATTCATCAGTAGGGAATAAAGTATCGATGTTAGCTTGTCATATTGTATGTGAACGATTTGATCACTTTTATAATTATTACGCGGTAGTGAGTCGTTAAATTTTTATAAACTTAACGATCTTTCATTACGTTGATGTGTTTGCGGCGTTACTGTATATACCATTGTCGCTTGTGTGTTCGTTTGCAAACTCCGAACCGGCGCGATTTATTTCGCGCCCGTTAGTGACGGACGCAACTTAAATCAATTTTTAATATAAAAATCGAATCTAAGTGCGCATTTAATATAAATAGTAGACAAGCTGTACGTCGATGTCCGCAGACGTGATTAATTGCTCAGGAATTGTATTAATTTTTCTGAATATTTTGATAATTATTTTTCTACCGTCGCTTGTAAGTGATTATTGGAGAGCGGCGACGTTGTGTCATTGTTGAATTTCATTAATTCGCTGTTCGAATAATAATTTAGTGAACTGCACAGAACGTTGGTGTTTCACTTGATTTTTGAAATATTTTTCTTAAATGTGATGCATGCGATGATTTTACTGCATTCAATGACTGATGTTGAGTTTAAAAGGAAATTATGTCTCGGACTTTGCGTGTCACGGAACGAGGTCGGAGGCTGAACGCCGCGCACGAAGCGATCGAGACAGCCCTCGGCGCCCGCGCAGGCCGCACTCGGGTCCGTTCTACGCAAACTGTCGAAATTGTAGTTGTTGTAAGTTTAGGTGAAACAAAGCACATACGAGCACAAACCATCCATCCTCAAAGATACTACGCTGAATGTTTTGATTGACTCACGTTTGAATTTATGATACATTTTATTGTAAAAAAAGAAAATATTTTACTATCGCTTATGTTAGTTGAAACGTTTGCAAATAATAGTATTTATTTTCTCAGTGATAATAATTTTTATGGCAAGTTTTGGGATTCTTAAGGTGTTTTATATATTACGGATTCTACTTAAATATTGAATTTAGGCATAGTGCTATCGTCGTAAATATTAATTACTAATGTTCATTTCGGCTCTCTGTATAGTAATGTGAAAATGTAGACGCTGTCTATATTTCTGTAAGAATTTTGCTTACCGTCCTGCGAGCGCGTCGGGCGAGAAGAATTCTTACAAAATATGGTCTCTCGAAGCTATGATTTCTTATATTGTGTTAGGTAATTTTGTGAGTGTAAGGTGTGTGATTTAGTTAACAGCGATGTTTTAAAATGTGGAAAGATTCCAAATAATGCTGCTAGATTAAAAGCTGTAGGTAATTACATATCAAATGATGTTTCAAAGTATTTATAAATTGTTTGGCTGAGGTGTAAGGATAGGAACGGTTAGTGAAATGACATGTGGTTTACAGACAATATTTCTCGTGTTATAAAGAAAATGAAAGTTTTAATAGCAAAATTGTTTCGACGTTGAAAGCTGACATATCATCCACGTAGTGGTGTCATTTGAGATTCACTAAAGTAAATGTACCATTAACTCGGGGTCGCTGAGAAGGATGACGGGGGATAGGTAATTTGGAATCTTTCTGGAGCCAGACGCCAAAGAGATTGCTTTTAGATAATTCAATATTGTCTTAAGGGTGTTTGCACGTCGAATACATTAAATTAGCTATACGATGCTTAAAATGTCCACACACAAATCGATTTTAACCATTTAACGCCATCCTGCCAGATATAAGAACACAATGCTTATGAAGATTATTATTATATCCTACTTAGATGTATGTCGTAGTGTGTATTTTTAGATATCGCATTGTCTATGTTAGATTAGTGGTTAAGACACCTTGAGCTTTGTACACTTTGACACCGACATTTTTACCAATTACGTAGACCCGTTTCACGCGACGAATACGATGCCTCTTAGCATTTGCACCTTGGCCCTTCGACGCATTCGCAAATGCACCGAGAGCTTCGACTGTGTATATAAGGCCGATTCCTAGATTAACAACTTAACATAAATGTAACTCTGTAACCTTATTATATTGAACTACTGAGACACCACTTTGCGCCGTGGCCTTAAAATTGTAAGGGATGTTTTATTCCTTTTTAAGAGATTGAGAACTTCATTTTTGTACAGACCTATGTATTTCCGATTTTTCATCGTCACGTAATCGTAAGTGCTCATTTGTATCGTGTATAAACCTGTCCTAGATTAGTCGTTGCCGTAGGTTCTCTGTAGGCGCTTTAAGTCCTAACTTGTAAGAAGTTGTTGATTTCAATATTCCAATTCGTGCATATCCCCATCTCTTGATGATTGTTACCTACACTAGTTACTTTGAGACTGTTCAAATTACTCTATCGAGTTTTCTCTAAGGGAAAGGGCTGTTTTAGCAGATATTTTTGATACAATGAGGAAAATCGAAGGGAAACGATCTTGTATATAAATATAGCAAAGCCGAGCGAGCTCTTCTTACCTCGCTCCGAGCGAAGCGGGTAAAGTCCATCCGGTTTTGGACTCGTTGAATCGTTCTCTTGTCTTCGAAGGCGTGGACGATACAATTAATGTTACTGTAACGAAAGAAAAAACGTTGTTCTTATATGAGATGCGATGGATTTCGCTGATAACTTGTTGTTTTTCATATATTCGTAATATTTCCTTTATTTTTTGTACTCTTTAGTGTTAAGATAATGATAAAGTGAAAATTATTCAATGTTGATTACTCTAAAACAAATAATGTACGCGTTAAGGATGGTGTAATTAGTTTCCCCGAGAGCCTTACTAGTGGTGAAGCCTTTTCCTTAGAAAGTTAATCTTTCGTATCCCCGTTTAGTGAGTGATGCCCGCGGACTGCGGTTGACGAATGAGAAACATCCAAGTGAGTTTGAGAGAACAACTATTATGTAAGTATCTGTCGATCGTCGCCTAAACTGACTCGTCTTTTCTATCTCCAGCTCTATTGACCGCCACAACTTCCACTTTTATACGCAGATCACCTCCGGTGCGGATTAGTTTTGGCCTAGCGATGACTTAAGATAACTTTAAGGGTTCATCATTTTAACTTAGATCGTATGACTCAATTTTAAGACTGATCACAGGAAAGAAAATTATAATATGCAACAAAATTCCTGGATAATTGTTTTCATTGGTTACGTAGGTAGATTCTACTTATATATAGCACGGTTACAGCGACCAATGACAAAAGTATTCGGGTTAGAACGAAATGGAAGTCGATTAGGCAATTCGGGAAGCGGAGGGCGTTTGATATTCGTCGCTATAATAAGTGCATTATCTTCTGTCGATACTTTCCTGTCATCTATTCTAAGACGATGGTAAAATGGATCGAAGCGAGGTGCGAATCCCGTGGTAATGTCGACTCCGACGATGTTGACGTTGCTTTTGATCGATTGGGAAAAGAGAAATACTATTTGTTGCCAAAGTGTTGTTAGGGATAATCGTGTAGTTATAAAAATCGGTTGTCACATGCATAATTAAGTTGTTCTTGGACGGTTTGAGGTTAAGGAGAGTTGAAAAATATTTCCAATGATATATTTTTTCATAATGAACTTGAATGCTAATCGATACTTAAGATATTTGTGTAGGACTTAAATTAACGTGTGGTTGTCGTCGCCACGATTCTTGGCGCTCGTGAGTGGTTCTTCATCGTAGTGAGGCGAATCGTGGCCGACGATTTAGTTGTTTAGTGTTCATGTTGCATTAGATTGTACTCGACAGTTCTCTATTAAAACGATCACTTGTTTCCGCCTCTATAGCACTTCGAATCCACCCCACTTTTATATTTCGCACCCCTCGTTTCATTAACAGTTCGGTATTGTTAAATTCTAATTTATTGCTATTTATTTTAATTATATTTATGAAGCTAGTCAGTGAGTATTGGTTAGGATAACTTAGTTCCATTGTAATTACCAAGTATAATGATTTGTGTATTTTATGTATTATAAATTTGTTTCTTAAAGTTAATGCTTCTATCTAGTCATGGGTGTTGACTGTCCAGCTGCTTTATAAGCTGAATCAATCTATATTGTCAACTCATTTATTTACGTATTTGGTTTATATATATGAAATCAACTCCTTAGATATTTCAAACATGTCTCCGTTTTGTTACTGTCTGTCTATCTTGAACTCTTTTTTCCAGCAAGTTGAATTAATGTTTTGTGTGTGACTGCGCGTTTGTGTTTTAAATAATTTTATTTTCGTTTACCAACTTTTCATATTAGTTAAAGGACAAATTGTAGAAATATGAGGTTAAATAAATTATGATATATCATCCATATTACTACAAAAGAATTACGCTAATTCTTCATGCAATATTCCTCTACCGTACAGCGTAAAGACTCCGTTTTAAGTCAAATAGTTGTGTCTTTATCATATTTCTATGCTGTTGTCTTAATTAGCGATTTTGATAAATTACGTTACTTGTATTACAACTGAAGATTCCGAACATTCCACAAAAGGGTTTTTATTTTTGTTATTGGTTCATTATTTTAAAATCACTCCGTGTGGGTTGGACGTCATTTTGTAAGGCTGAAACTTGAACGACAGCATTTTACGTAGATATTATTCATCTCAGATGACATTTTGCGCACTAATTTAATAATGATGTGATCGGCTCGAAGAAGTCGTGTTTTATTTGAAGCTCTCGTCTACGGCGTTTAGTTTTTTTTTATTATATCGCTCAAACGTGTGAGCCTTTGTGCAGCCACCCATAGCTGTCGTTGAGTTTTCGCCCTGACACAGCAGTGTCAATCGCATCAATACTCTACTTGTTATTCAGGTAATTTAAGTTAGTCTGTAAGAAATAATATCTGATGATAAATTTACTTGTATGTTGTATTAAAATGATGAACATGAAATAAAGAAACTGGTTTGAAATGTTCGTTTTATTTTGAAACGATAAATACTTAGGTCTAAGTTCAAGATAAATTCAACAACTTAATGGAAAACAATAGACTAGACCGGTTGTGTCAACTTGGGCTATATTTCGATAATCCCACCACCCACTATCTAAATTTTTAGAGGAAGCCCAATTTGATTCGATGAGTGACAAATTATAATTTGAATTATACCTTTGATTATTAGCATACACTGCTACCAAGATTTAGCTTAGACCAAGATGTCCGTCAAATTACCTAAGTAAAGATCAAAAATATTAAAATGGTTCGTGAAATACAACACTGACTACGGAACCTTTAAAATTCATGATCTGCTTTGAAGTTTAACCTTGTGTGACTCACAGGGAATATATTAAGGGAAAGACTGTTACATCGAGATGTCAGGTTACAGTTAACTCTCATGACACAGCCACGAACTGAAAGAGACTGTAGAGACAAACTACTTAGCCGCAAAAATTCTTTTCACGTGCTTTTAGTCTAATGGTAGCAAAGTGTGGTTAAAAGCTAACTAATCTAACATGTTTCTAATGAATTTGTAGCTTTTCTGAAAAATCTGTATATTAAATAGGTGGTAAGATTATTTTCTGTGAGGATCAGGAATCGCCGTCCACATACGAAAAAGCTGTGAAGTTTAATCGCGTTTCGTTTTTACTCTGACCAATTAAACCCACGCCTGTCTCTCCACCTCTATCATAAAAAATGTAAATTTGTGTGTGCCAGTCTAATTTCTTTATGTCAAATTTTATCCAGATCAAGTCTGGGACGTGTAGTAAAAAAAATAAAACATGAAAACCAAGCTGTTATTGAGTTTGGTTTTCATTTTTTTCCATTGTATTTGGTTATTTTTTTTAGGAACTAATTGAGTGTAAAAGTATAGGTGCATTTTAAAATTGCTTGAACCATGTTATACTGAAAGGCTATAAATTATCGCGAGGGGAC